GTGTACGTTCGTCGTTTCGCTTTCTCATTATTAAAGTGAATAAATCGAACTGTTTGTTGCTAAGATGATTTCGGTGGTCCTAAAATGATGAATGGGCTGCACGTAAGGAGACGTAATTGATAATTCTCCGGAATATCCTGCTAAATACACTTTGACTTAAGTAACAATAGGGGCATGAAAGCTAGCGATTTGCATTAATATGATTAAAACCCTGCTGAACATGTTAAACATTGCTATCACTATGAGATTATATGTGTTTAATTGGAAATAGGAATAACTTTTCGGTCATCAAAACTAAACTTTATTTTTCTCGGATTGGTGCGAATGTTACTTACGACATAATGAAAATTTGCTCTTGAAATAATCTTAAAACAATGGTTTATTTCAAAGTTCGTTCAAACGTCATTTTAACTGCTCGTGAAGTGGCTAATTGAACACCAAGAAAACCACTTCATCTTTACTGCGTTGCTAGCAATTGTAAAAGTATCAATCATTGAAAAAGCGTTGCCAGATGTATTGCCCCTACCAATAAATTTAAGTTTAATTAAACAAGGAATTACGAAGTTAGACTCATTAACATTGATGGGTGAGTGTATTAAATGGGGAATCATAAACTGAATAAATAAAACAAAAACGACCATTTTAGGCAACACCATCGGGTAGGGGCCTCTCTCACCTTTCCGAAAATGGTATTGGTTTGCATGAGTGTACTTTAGTTCGCGTGCAAAGGACCTTACAAAGTTTCTTTACAAAAGCTTTTGTGACGTTATCAAATGTTACGCCTGATTTTACCGATCCAATTAATAGAGTTACAGAAGATTGAGTTAACAGCAGAGATGGCAGCAGTGCACGTAACCTGTTATTCGCTTTCTCTCGCAGGGGTGTAACACAATTCCACACAGCACGGTCTGGCAATGTGATATTTTTGTCCACAATATCCTTATGTACTAGGTAGTGTGACGCCACATTTGATGTTGTATTTCAGTGAAGGAAGAAAAGAGATGGCTAAATTCACCTCACCATACCAGTTGATATTTATGAATCCAATGAATTTTACCAAAACATTTAGAATTGATGATCGAAGAATATTTCAAAAAGAAGAAGTAAACAAATTATTTACACTTTGTGGAACCTTAATAACGGGTGTCCACTAAAAAATGAGACTGCAAATAATTGTTCGAGGGAAATGACCAGTGAAGTTAAGTTCAAACTAAGGGTTAACTTAAGTCTTCAAGCTTAGTGAATATTGACGTACGCGTATCTTAGTCATGATAATGGAACATGGCCGTTGGACGGCTACCTCATCGATTTTCCGGATGCAGCTTTTGATCATATTGGTTAGATGCTTGGTGTCCTTGTGGAAGAGTTCTTTAATTTTGAAAAATGTATCGTTTTTTATACATCATCTGAAAGAGCTTCGTTTTCTGAGCACAGCGATATTTTTTACGAACCCACACACTTTCATCTCGATTTTTAAATTAAGATTAAAAGCAAAATCTTCACTGTTTGACGCTAAACTAACAAACTGGCTGCCCCTAGTCAGTTTGTTAGTTTAGCGTCAAACAGTGAAGTTGTTATTTTGCTTTAAATCGAGATGAAAGTGTGTGGGTTCGTAAAAAATAACGCTGTGCTCACTGGAACTGGAACTAGAACTGGAAGTGGAACTGGAACTATTTTAAATAAGTAAGGTGATAAATAAGGTGCTTTTGGAAACGTAATCGTACTTATTTAAATAGTTCCAGTGACCAAAATTGATGAAATTTTGGGTTTGGGTTCCATTTTTAATGCAGATTACGAATATGCATTTAACTCAATGCCCTTAAAGAACCCAATTACCTTGCCCTCCGGCAGATTTGTCGGATTCCGGTCTTTTGGTACATATGATATATTTTAGCTTTCCGCCGTACTTCCGGGTCATTGTGATCTCACGGTTTGAATTTGCCCGTCAGTGTACTCTGGAGATCTAGTTCCTTCCTTAAGGTCGGCGCACAATAGATACGTTTTCAGGTTTTTTGACAGTTAGCCCATGCATTATCTGTCAAAAAACCCGAAAACGTATGCATTGTGCGCCGGCCATTAGAGTCTTGCAGATGTGTGACTTCGAACAACGGAACATTCTGGTTGCTTCCCGTTGACATACCAAACCCTTGTTGTGCAGCGAGCAGAGCGTCTTCTTATTCATTTTCTTCTTTGGATGGACACTACATCTCTTCTGGGTTACAGTCATGGATTCCAGGATACGATACACGGTGTATACTGGATCGTTGTATAGCGGGTGTTAGGCTTCATCACCTAAGGTGACATTTCTCTGCGAACGTTTTTGTTCTGTTAGGAAAGTATTGGAATCATTCTCATTTTTTAGTGGACATCCGTTAGTTCTAGTTTGATAATCGCCGTAGGAAGTACCGTTAGTATATTTAAAATTGACCATCAGCCTCTGAGACTATATGAATTGTCACGTATTTGAGATGCTCGATAACCCTAGATGGATCGGTTTGCTTAGTGAGCAGAATATCATGGGTTTAATCCTAAGCTCTCCCACAACAATATAAACCGCCATCGTTGGGTTCTGTAAGCATAAAGCGCAGTTAATAACCAATAGTTGAATTGTTTAAACCATGAGTTTCGGAAAGGGTGTATGCGTGATCAGTTTGGAAGACATTGTTGACAGCTTTCAGAGACGATAGTTTTTGTTTAACTGCAGAAAGATATAAATCGTCGCGAGTGCGAATTAATCTCCACGACTATCGACCGTCGTTGGAGTAGTCCTCAGAACTGACCAAGTGGCCCCCCAAAGTGCATTAGTGTTTTTATCACATATGGCTGGAGTAAATTGGATCATTCGGGTGAGACGGTTTCTATTTGTTTGTTGAATTTTAATTTAAACAGGATTGATATTTAAATTTAGGAGCTCGGGTAGTTTAGCAGCTACCACTTTTGCTTACTGAGTAGAAGTTCGTGGGTTTACTCCTAAGCTGCTCGAGAACAAAACAATTACTATGGTTGCAACCCCTGCTTAAGCGAATCCTAACCCATCTCCTACCAAACTACCCAACTCCGTAGCATCTATGGGGGTGTCAGGCGTCGCTGACCTCCCGTTAAGTAGATGTTACATCAACAATATCCTTCCTTTCCCCGTAACGGAGAAGATGGGCGTGGCCTGCAATGGTAATTGTCATGCTTTTCCTGTTCTGAACTTTGATTGGAGAACTATTCACTCCCAAATAGTTTTCTTTAAGCAATCAGAATATGAACGTTAAAGTTGATACATGACAGTTGCCAATATGCAATCTACGAATTACTCCTTTACACACGCAACGCAACGCAACATCCGTTAGTTCTCGTTTGAGCATCTTTGGGTCAAGGATAACTTATTACAATTAAAGGTTGTTGGTATCAATCTTTCAAACACGAATTAATAAAAAAAAAAACTGATTATCAGATTTCGGGTCACACTTTCCATTACTCCTTTAATCATGAATTTACAAAATTAATTGAGTATAGATTATAACCATTAATTGAATCATCAATTTTAACCATTAATAGGCCAAATTAATTGACGAAAATGAGAACAGCAACGACTGACTGTAACAAAGTCGCCTCATTCAAGTGCATGCACTCAATCTACTTTGACGATTGACGAAAGCATGGATCATCTTAAATTGATAAACGCTTGAAATCATTCAATTGAGAGTAACCTGCAGAGTAACGGGGATCGACATTCCATCGAAAACCCAGTTTTCCAAGTAAATAAATGAAATTTGAAACGATTTATTCTATTTTGCTGCAGGAAAAAGCACATTGTGTTGTGGCTAAACATTTTTGATTTTCTTTGAGTAGGTTTGTAAGCTGCGTTTGAAAGATAATACATTAATTCAAAAATGGTATGCTTTAAAAGAGCAATATTTAACATTGAGATCAAATTCATCATTAACGATCACCCAGCAAAAACTTCATTTAAAAATAATAATTGATGATTTTGAAGAGTGCTTTCTGCCAAATCGTTAGATTACACTAGTTTTCAGCATATTTGAACTTTGAAATGATCCCATGTTAAATAGTGTGCTGAATCCAAAAATGTAGTCAGAAAAAATTCCAGTAGGATAGTTTTCTAGATACAACTAAAACATTAAATGTTACTTAAAATATTGTTTTCGCTAATGTTAATCTAACTGAAAAATAATGACCAGTTATTCGAAAGCAAATTTTCTCACCTTTCATTTGGCGTTAAAACAATTGATATAGCTTAATTAAAGCCAAAGATATTCCAACTTATAAAAACACTTTTTTAAGTGAAATATATCGTTTTAAGCTGTTCCTAAAAAACTGTGCTACAGAGATTTTTTTTGACTCTATTTTTATATTCAACGCACGATTTTACATAAATATCATACGATTTTACAAATATCACAGTCAAACATTGAAGTTAATTTATTCTTTTACTTTTATTTGCAAAGTTATAAACCACTTAAGAATTGTTTTGAAAGCTAATCATTGAAACATGATTTTAACAAGTGACTGAACTAGAGTATCTTTACCACACTACCGCTGGTCTGAAAAAAAAAACCATTTACACGTGTATTGTATATATAAATAAGCCTTCGCCAGTGCAACGTAAAATAATTTTCAATTGTGTTTTCATGACTGATGTTCAGTCAAACTACACACTAAGAAAAATAAATGCAAATTAATATGCCCTGAGATGGCCATACACGAGCGTCAATTTTTACATCATATTAAGTCATATAAGAGGTAAAATCCAGCTAGATCAATCGTACTTTCCGGCGAGTAACGATCTTTTCAGTCTTGTAGCACTTAATTTAACATGTTTGTTTACGTCTCACCCTTTATGTCAAAGATGGATTCCGTTACGCTTAAAATTAATTATTTCCAAGTGTGTATTTCTCTTTCGGAAACGATACCTGAACATGTGCAGGAGGAGATTTGGAAAAAATATTGTTATAAATAAGATCATCGAAACAAAATGATTTTCATACATCCACATCAAATCTTCACTTTATTAACATACTCTCATCAGGTAGCACAAAAATGTAAAAATCCTCAAACGATATCAAATTCAGGTAACTTCTGCGCAGCTCAGAATTTACAGAGTTCCCACAGCGGGTTCCAGATTCAGTGACTGCTGGGAAACGGTATGTCCCGGAAGTGGAGCATCATGGACGGCACCTCGGTTGGCAGCCAGGTAGCGAGCCTCCTTTTGGGCATAGACGGCCACGGCCGGTTGGTATGCGTAGGCAGTTGGGACAACGGAAGCGTGGGCAGCATAGGTCACGGCTGGAGCATATGCACCCCCATAGGCAGAGTACGCCAGTGGGGCTCCCAGATTCTGCTGAACAATGGTGCCATGTGGAACGCTGTAGGCTAGCGGTGAATAGGCGGAATAGGCGGAATAGGCCAACGGAGCCCAGGATGCTTCGGCGGCGGCGAGGGCCAGGGCCATCATGACTACAGCTGCGATGCACTGCGTGATTCGAGAAGAAAATTAATTGATTTGTAATCAAAATGATAATTTGCAACTTACCTTCATGATTGTTGGTTTTGGAGGGTTTGCGGAGAGGTAGAATGTAACAGTTCTAAAGACTGATGTGTTATGCTTCCAGAACGAACTAGAGTTTGTTTTTATATTAAAAATAGTTTCATCCATTGGCTGACGCAAGACATTAATTTTTCAGCACCAACCACAATAAATAGAACAAAAACTAGTTAAACACTCTACACCCATGCGAAGGTGGTTATCAATCCATTACATTTTGATACAACCATTTACTCCTTCTTGCAAAACAGGTGTGTTTTGATACGTATATAACAAGGAACCGATCAAATCGAGACTGGGAGACAATTTTGGCAGTCCGTATGTGCAGCCGATTGACATTTACGAGTAAGTAATGAAGCAAACAAATCTGCACTACTTTCCAGTTTGGGCGTCGCTTCCATTCAAACTGGATTGATCCTGCTCCACTAGAATCTACTAATGAGACCGGTCATATAATTTATTACGTTCTCTGCTTGAGTGAGTGCTTCGCTTGTGACGCCACCCCCCATCACGGGGGAGAAAGGTCAGTTGTGTGAGTTGAGGATAATCGCAAAAGGGGATTCAAGTTCAATTGTCCGCGGAATAAGTCCGAGCCAGAATCACTTCATTCAATATACATATGGATCAGATGCTTTATATTTTTGACGCGAATGGATTCGCATACATAATGTCGTATGTAACCAGCTTTGAGTATGTATTTATTATTCCTATTCTAGAATTCGTGTCTTGAAAATTCTAGCGTTCTTGAGTATCAATCCGAAAAATAAGTCCTCCTATAAATACACAGGTAGGTCTATTCTAGAGACATAGTTGAACTGCCAAGGCATCCCGCAACAGTCTTTCCGATTTTTCAAATCATCCTCAAAGAAATCAATCATGAAGGTACGTACATAATCACAATGATAACAAAAAATGCAATCTTCATCCACTTTTCTCATCCACACAGTGCATCGCAGCTGTAGTCATGATGGTTCTGGCCGTTGTTGCCACCAGCGAGGCATCATGGGCTCCATTGGCATACTCCACCCCGTATACCACCTTGGTTCAGAACAACGCCTACGCTCGCTATGAGGCTGCTCCCTGGGGATATGCTGCGGCCCCAGCGGTGTCCTATGCTGCCTACAACTACCACCCAACTGCCTACGTTCATCAGCCAGCTGTTCCGGTGGCCGTCTATGCCCAGCAGGAGGCTCGCTACCTGGCTGCCAACCGTGGTGCCGTCCATGATGCTCCACTTCCGGGACATACCGTTTCGCAGCAGTCACTGAACTTGGCCCCAGCTCCGGGAACGTTTTAAACTGTTGTGTTGAGAGATGATGAATTGAGCTGGATGTGAAATCAGTGTAAATATACCGATAGAGTTGTTTGGAAATGTGAAATGCTTTTTTCTTGTGAATGATGCTATGAGTCTTGTTATATTCGCGGCACTAAGTACAGTCACCCCAGTATTTTGGGTCATCCACAATTGTGGGCCACTTTCATTTAATTAACATAACTGACTGACCCATAATAGTGACTAGCTGGCCGATAACACTGGGGTGATTGTACATGCCAGGGCAGGGTAAGACAAACCACAGTCAATCTTTAATCGATCACAAATTGATTTTTATGCTTTAACTTTTGTATTTCTTATCATCCCATGTATTTTTACTGAAAAGTACCAACACGTCAATTCGTGAAAAGATATTTTACAGACGGGTCACGTCTCAATGGATCCACTGGCTTCGGAGTCTTCAAAACTCTAACACCTTCCACAAACTTCAGGAACCTTGTTCCGTTCATGTTGTTGAGCTGGCAGCAATCAACTTCGCGTTGGGGATGATTTCCAACACGGCGACATTACTTCATCTTCTCGGATAGTCTCAGTTCGATTGAGGCTATTCGGTCGATGAAACCAGGTAGGCACTCATCTTATTTCCTTTCAAAGGTAAGGGAGCAGATGAGTGTGCTGGTCGAAAGATCATATATGATTACCTTTGTATGGGTCCCCTCATATTGCTCAATCCCTGGCAATGAGAAGGTGGACTCTCTCGCAAAGGTGGGCAAAGGAAGGTGAATTTTATGACAGGCAAATTTTACACCATGAATTTTACCATTTAGTGCACCAGAGTACCCTTTCGAGTTGGCAAACCGATTGGGATACTGCGAATCTTGGACGGTGGTTACAATAAATTATTCCTAATGTTTCTTCGAGTGTGAAGTGGTTTCGGATACACCAGGAGGAAATAAACCGAGAAAAATAGCGATTTAAGGAAAAACGAAATTGAACTTTATTGAAACGTGTTTTACTTTTGTTTACTCTGAGCGAATGATGTAGTAGAAAAACGCACAGGGGCGTACCAAAGGTAGGGGCAACTAGTACACTGTGGTTACACTCTTAACACCCCTGCTTAACCACGGTAGTCTCCAGTCCCAGCCTGGTGCGGAGTCCTCTGAAGGCGGTGACCGAAAGACCCTTTGTCATGATGTCTGCTTCTTTCTCTGAAGAACGCACGAACTTGATGATGATGACACCCTGCTGCACAAGATCACGTAGGAAATGAAATTTGGTGTCCACGTGCTTGAGTCGACCATAGTCCTTCGAATCCTCAGCAATGCGAATGGTGGACTGATTGTCCTCAAAAACTGGAATGGGACCCTCGATTGAACATCCAAGATCTCCAAGCATCCTCTTCATCCAAACGACCTGACACGTGGCCGTACACAACGCTGCCAGTTCTGCTTCGGTGGACGATAAGGCGACCGTTTGCTGCTTGCGTGTAAGCCAGCTCACGGTGCATCCGTATACCTTGCAAACACATCCCGTTACAGATCGCCGGTCCAGGTTGTTGTTGGCCCAATCTGCATCGGAGAAAACTTCCAATAACTGCACGTTTGGCTGCTTCCGATAAACCAATCCAACATCCAACGTGCCTTGGACGTACCGCAACATCTGCTTCAAATAGGTCCAGTGTTCATCGTTGGGACACGACTGGAATTGGCTGAAATAGTTGATGGCAGCCGACAGATCCGGTCGAGTAGTGAGTGAAGCGTACATCAGACAGCCAACCAACTCCCGGTACGGCTTGTCTGTTCGCTGACTCTCGTCTCCCTTAGTCAACTTCAAGCGATGCTCGATCGGCGTTGACCTCGGCTTGGATTCGCTCATCCCAAAACGCTTGAGCAAACCCTCCAAATAGTCCCGTTGACTGATCTTCAGTACACCAGCTGCACGGTCCCTGTCGATCCTCATGCCTAAGAACTGCTTGACCTCACCAGCATCCGTCATCTCGAACTGCTCGGACAATTTCCGCTTGACCAACTGCAGAAGCTTCAGCGACGGACTCACGATCAAGATGTCATCGACATACAGCACTAGAATGACTTGCTCCTTCCCAGATCCGAAAGTGTAAAGGCATTGATCGTTGGCACTGCGAACGAAACCCAACTGCTCGACGAAACGATGAAACTTCTCATTCCATGCCCGCGACGCTTGTTTCAGGCCGTACAGTGCCCGGTTCAGCCGACAAACGAGTCCACTCCCCTGCTCAAACCCGTCCGGTTGAGCCATAAAGATTTCCTCCTTCAGCTCGCCGTTCAAAAACGCGGTCTTTACATCCATCTGATGGATATGCATTCCGCTTTGGTTCGCCAACGCCAGAACTGTTCGCAAAGTGTCCATCTTCGCCACAGGAGAGTAAGTCTCCCCATAATCAAAACCTCGCTTCTGGCTGAAACCTCTAGCGACCAGTCTTGCTTTGTACTTCGGGCAGCCGCCAGATTCGCCGTGCTTTACACGGAATACCCACTTGCATGAGATCACCGAACGTCCTTCCTGTTTCTCAACAAGCGTCCAGGTGTTGTTCCGCTTCAGCGAGTTCAGCTCATCTTCTATCGCAGCTTTCCAATCCTTCCAGTCATCGCGTTTTCGCAGCTCAGCGATGGTCCCTGGAATCTCATCAACGTAGTTTACCGCACTCAACGCAAAACTTGCGTATCCCATCTCAAAATCCTGATGCCACGCAGGAGCATTCCGCTTCCGCTTGGGTCTACGTAGTTCGCCACGCAGTTCGCCCTCAGCTTCCTCTGGCTCAGACTCGGTATCCTGTTCCTCAGACTCCTCTTCGTCGAAACTTTCGAATTCCCCGTCGGATGTTTCCCTTTCCGGGTCCACGGGTTGGACACTGACTCCGTCCTCTTGATCATCGTCTGCTGAAACACGGATAAACTCGTCTCCGTTGGAAAACTTCCTCTCCACGAACACATTCTCCATCAGGTTGTCCTCAACAAAGTCCACATCGCGCGCTACTATAATCTGCTTCTTCACGGGATTCCAAACCCGGTACCCGTTCTGGCTGTATCCCAGAAAAATGCCTTTCCAGGCTTTCGCATCAAGCTTACGCCGGAGCTCATCCGGAACATGAACGAAAACCTTGCTACCGAAAACTCTTACCTTCGATACATCCGGCTTCCGGGACTCCCATCGCTCGAACGCTGTTTGCTTCGTGTTCAGCGCACTGGTGGGGCTTCTGTTAGTCAGGTAGGCCGCTGTCAGCACAGCTTGCCCCCAGAACCTCTTTTCGACACCTGAATCCTCCAGCATTGCCCGAGCCTTCTCGACGAGGGTCCGGTTCAACCGCTCGCTCACGCCGTTCTGCTGTGGCGTGTACGGAACGGTCCACTCGACTTGGATTCCTTTGCTTCGGCAAAACTTCTGGAATCGCTTGTTCTTATATTCTCCGCCATTGTCACACCTTAGACGAGAAATCTTCTGGCCAAACTTCGCGGAGACCAGGGCCTCATACTCTTCGAAATAGTCCACCACCTGATCTTTCGATCGCATCAAATAGACCACCGTGAAGTGGCTCCAATCGTCCGTAAAAGTGACAAAGTATTTCACTCCGGACAGCCCTACCGGCGTAACAGGGCCACACACGTCCGTATGTATGAGTTCAAGTACACGCGACGACCGATTACCACCGGACGCAGAGAACGGTTTTCTCGTCTGCTTACTGACGACGCACGAATCGCACACAATCATGTCCCGATTGTCATTCGCGGGGAACATGTTCATTCCCGAAACCATGCC